TGAACAGCTTCTATTTTCTGAGGGTCTGGAGCAATTCCATTTCCAGATATAATATGGCCTAAGAAGGGTAGGCTTTGTATCTAAAAGTTGTATTTTTTAATGTTAAGATGTAATCCAGCCTTCCGAATTCTGGTAAAGACTTTCTGTAAATGTTCAAGATCTCATCAAATGTTCTTGAATAGACAATAGTGTTATCTAAGTATACCACTACAAATTTCCATGCAATTTCATTATAAACTCAGTCCATTAATCTTTGGAAGGTTGCTGGAGGATTGCAAAGTCCAAAAGGCATTACATTAAATTCATAAATGCCATATCGAGTAATAAAAATAGTCTTTTCTCAGTCTTTAGGGTTCATATTAACTTGCCAATATCCACTAGCAAGATCTAGGGTAGAGAACCATATTGATCTAGCAAGTGCATTTAGCATTTCATCTATTCAAGGTAAAGGGTATGCATCCTTTTTCATAACAGCATTAAGTTTTCTGTAGTTTATACAAAAATATAATTTTCTATTCTTCTTTCGTACTAATATAACAGGAGAAGTTCAGGGGCTACTAGAAGGTCTAATAAGTTTATTATTGAGCATCCTTTGTATTTCTTCTTTTATAAATGTCTGTTCTGTAGGTGGCATTAAATAAGGGCATGATCGAATAGGAGATATATCTTCAGTATAGATTTTATGAGTAACCAAATTAGTATGATCTAATTCAATTATATCTGATGCAAAAAGGTCTGAAAATTCTTCTAATAGTGTCCTAAATTTTTGGCCTTGTTCTGGTTGTAAGGGTCCAATATTTATAGCTGTTTCAGAGGTTAAGGTGTATTCTTCATAAGGAATACAGGTCTCAATAGAACACACCATTTGGGATATAAGGTTGCTAGGATTTGTCTTAGGCATATCTGGGTCATCAGGTAGTTTTTCATCTTGCCTGGAATTCTCTAAAAATTTTGAGGTTTCAAAAGAGTTTCAAGAACATTTTCTTGTTGCCTTATATGTTGAAAATGGTTTTGAAAGAATTGTAGAATTTGTGTATTGGTGTCTTGCAGAGATTGAATCTGTGTTTGCAATTGTTGAATAAGTTGAGCTTGTTGATCCAACTGGAGTTGCATTTTGATAAGGGGTTCAATATGAATAAGGTCTGGTTCTGAAGTAAGTTTAATGTTCGGTGAATGTGCTAATGCAGTATCACAATCACTACAGTATTCTTCATGTTGGTCTAATTCTTCCTGATGCTTAACATATAAGCATTCTTTACAAAGGTCAACAGAGGTACTAAAATTGCAACGTAAGGTAGCAAAAGCGAATTGTTGATTATATTCAGAATGGCTAGTGTCAAAAGACTCATCTAATATTTGTTGAAGAAGAAGTTTATCATTCTCTTCAAGGGTTCCTTGTTCTTCTCATAATACTAATTTCATGTTATTATTAGACCAGAGTTAGCTAAAACAATTATCAACTTGAGGTTCAAGAGCTTTAATAATAGTCTGGTCACTTTCCTAAAGAAGAACAGCAGCAAGATGATATATACAAGTCTGGTTTAGGTCATATTGAGATCTGGCACTTCGGTTAGATTCTGTGTAATGTCTGATTCTTATTCATAAATTGTAGTTAGGATTATAAAGAACATCCTGACTGGCTTTATGAGCATATAAGTGCTCAAACTACAAAACCAAAGTTCTTCACTAAGGCTTTCTAGTTGGTACATTCAAGAATGAGGTTTTGCTTTTTAATATACTTTACATTCTACAAGTAGTCCACGACCTTCCTTTTGTGTATAAAAATGAACACTTTGGGAGTCTTCTCGATCAAAAGCATAATAGAAGTCAAAATAACAAGCATGACAGAAGAGTTGATTTTTAGGAGCTCTCAGAGATTTAGGTCTTTCTGGGACATGGCATTGGCAGCAGTGATAAGTACATCTATAACTATAATGAGATAGTCTTTGGAATTATACTATTTCAGAGTTATAGCCACACTTATAGAAATAGTTTTGCTTTCGGAGGTTAGCCAAAGGACAATTAATACTTATATGTCTATAACTGTTGCATGAGTTACAAATATTTTGTGGACAGGTTCTATAGAGATGGTCAGGTTGATTGCAAGTGTGACAGCTGGCTCTTTTTAGTGGTTGTTGAGAACAGTAAGTGGCAATATGTCCAGGTTGTTGGCAATGATTACAAAGTTTGGTAGGACATTGTGTGAAAAGATGATTTGGGGATCTACAGTTTCCACACATACAGGCTTTAGGTTGTCTGGTTCTATGCTTGGGTTGATAAACAGTCCATTCTTCTGAACTATTGCTAGAAGATAGTTTAGCAGGTTCAGCATCAAGAGCATATGCTTCCAGAGGTGTAAGATATTCCTGTTCATAAAGCTCAAGCTTATCAGGATTAGTAACAATAGGTTGAGCTGGGAGTAGTTGATCATTTTCATAGGTAGTAGGAATGGCATGCTTTTTACCTTTTCACTTAAAGGAATAGCATTTATTTTTCCAGTTATAACTAGCTTCAACTTTCTTGGACCAGTCATTGCCAAGAAGAATAGAATATGAAGTAACATCTACTACTTCAACAGTAACAGGAATAGTAATTTGGTCTATAGTGATATGTAGGTCTCAAATAACTCCTAGAGGTCTAGTAGAATTACTAGTAGCTAATATGATAAGACTAGAAGAGACTTGTTCAATTTTTAATCCTAATTCTTTAACTAACTTGTAAGCAATCATGCTTACAGAAGCACTACTGTCAATAATAGCTTGGTAGGGTCTGTTTTTGAGTTGGATATTGCATTTAACAGATGTAGTATAGGTAGAAGATGTAATAATATTGGCAATCTTAGCTTCTTCACTTAAATGTGAAGAAAATGCAGTGCAGATAGAAGGATTGGCTAACAAGGTTTCTCATTTTTGTGAACTAATTAAAGAAGAAGAAGAAGAGGGTGTCTAATTCTGATCAAGATAGTAGACATCACAATAGTATGAAAAAGAAGATCAATTGGAAGGATATCTAGAGCTTTCAGAGCTTCTATTTCTTTGATAATTTGATGAATAGTAGTTTCGTTCATAAGATGGCTTCTATTTCAAGGATGATCTTGACTTCTGGATTAAGAATAATTATGTCAATTATCTCTGGTAGGTCTTCAGTTATAGGAGCCTTGTTTTCGTTCTCTGTCTCTCTTTTTAGTAATACAATTAGAAATAAAATGTCCAGTGCGTCTACAATAAAAACAAGTAGGTGGTTGTTTAAG